ATAGCCTTCCAGCTGAAGTGGTAGAGGTTAACACAGTAAAGGAGTTTAAGCATGCGTGGCATAAGCATAAGGCTATCCTAACTATATGATAAGGCCAGGGATTAATAAAAGTATTTAGAAAATTGGGCAGACTAGATGGGCCGAATGGTTCTGATCTGCCGTCACATTCTATCTTTCTCTGTTTATCTCAGTTCAATCTTCTAATCTATGTTGAATTATTCTGATTATTTGTTTGGCAGTTATTTACATTTCTGTCCCTCCGTAGTAAGCTTCTACTCCTATATGTATATGCTGCCATGATTAACTAGGAAAGAGGAATATTTATTCATACTTACCGTAATTTTATTTTCCTGGCTATTATTCATGGCAGCATATACTACCCACCCAGTGTTGGTTTTACATCTACTGTATGAGCTTGTTACTGACTGAAGGACCTATACAGGGACACTCTTTTTAAAGGCACACTGTATATATATATACTGCCATGAATAAGAGCCAGGAAAATAAAATTACGGTAAGTAAGAAAACATTTTCCTCTACAATGTTGTGGTTGTATCCTTGCACTCGGGCTGAATTTGATATGGCCGGGTGTCAGTCCCAGAGGTCAAATCCTGCATATACTTCAAATGTTAGAAAAGGCACTGTTTTCTTGAATTAAATTTCATTTTATTAAAGGTCCAGGGATCAATGTTTCAGTCCCTTACTGGGACTTTCATCCCATACACACATATCTATCTCTCTCTTTCTCTCTCTTTCTCTTATATCTATATATAAAATCTCACATGATTGGCTGCAAGCAACTGCCTGGGTTGTCAGGAAAGTCCCCCGATCACCTTGGGGTATTCGGGCTGGAGGAAGGGCCAGATCATTAGGGCATGCAATGTCTCCCTAATGTCTTTAAAGCCCTCCTTTGTAGGAGGGAATAGCATGCCGTAACACCTGGAAGGGGTTAATTTCCAGAGTGACCCTGCCTCACTCTTACTTAAATGAAGAAATATTAAAATTTTATGAATTGTGACATCACATAATTTATTAAACTAGCTCATACCTCAAATAATTATTTTTAATTTTACTACCTTTATAGGCAGTAGGAAAATAAGTTAGTGAAATTTGTGCTTTATCTAATTTTGGTTCAGATAGGTTATAGATACCATTTACTTTATGCAAGGGGCTTCCTTCTCTGCAGACTCTTATGTTTAATGTTATCTTTTTTTTAAAGCTCTTGTTGACCAAAGGGAAACCCTGATAAGCAGGGTCAGATTAAGAGCCCAGTGGGCCTGGTGCTGACAATTATGATGGGGCCTAATTACAGAATCTTATCGACCAAAAACACTAAAACAGTCACACCTCTCAAGCGTCATGTATCTAATGGAAACTGAAAGGATGCAGCTATAAGAAAACACATACTCTATGCTAATCTCTTTATCTAATGTCTGCTTTCATCTTTCAAGTAAATCCATACCCCCTAACAGCAGTTTCCAGTGAAGCAGGAAGTCAATGGGTGGGGTAAAAGAGTGGGCCACTGATGCAAATCATGTGACCAGAAGTGCCAAAATGGGCAAACATGCCAAAAAAGGGGGTATGTGTCTCCAAAGAATTGGAATGCCAGCCTGGCATTAGTGTCCCTATGTATCACAGTGTCAGAGTCCCCATGTCGCCCAGTCCCCTAGTCTTCCAGTGTCTGTGTCTCCATTTCTCCCAGTGTCCCCATGTTTCCGTGTGTCCCATATTACTAGGATACTAGGGGACACTGAGAGACATGGGGACACTGGGAGACATGGGGGCACTGAGACACTTGGGGACATTGGGAGACATGGGGGCACTTGTGGATACAGACATGGGGACACTGGGAGACATGGAGACACTGGGAGACATGGGAACACTGAGACATTTGGGGACACTTGGAGAAATGGGGTCACAGACACTAGGGGTATTGAGAGATATGGGAACACAGACACTAGGAGACTAGGGGACACTGGGAGACATGGGGACACTGAGACACTGTGGACACTGGCTGTGAGGCATGGGGACACAGACACTGGGGACACTGGGAGACATGGGGGCACTTGTGGACAGACATGGGGAAACTGAGACACTAGGGACACTGGCTGGGAGACATAGGGACACTGGGGGACATGGAGACACTGAGACACTAGGGACACTGGCTGGGAGACATAGGGACACTGGGAGACATGGGGACACTGAGATACTATGGACACTGGCTGGGAGACATGGAGACACTGTGTCCCTAGTGTCTCTGTGTCCCAATGTGTCTACCTATGTCTCACAGCGTTCCCATGTGTCTCAGTGTCCCCATGTCTCACAGTGTCCCCTAGTGTCTCAGTATCTCCATGTGTCCCCGAGTGACTCAGTGTCCCCATGTCTCCCTGCTGCCTTTCCCCTCATCCCTCACTTCCCTGAGCTGTAGTCTGTCTCTGCTGGCTGGGAGCTGCTGTCTGAACTCTCTGTGCTGTGCAGCTGCTCCCCTGCGTATCAGTGAGTAGAGAGAGGCAGGGAGGCATATGCTATAACTTCCTATCCCTGCCTCTCTCCATACATAGTGACCCCTACTGGCCGGTGCTGGTATTGCAGAGTAATCTCTTTTTTACTGAAAAAAATATTTGCATTTGTATTGCCGGTATTACTGCAATACCATCATGGCCAGGCAGCCTCAAATACCGGCTGTGCCTGAAAATACCAGTCAGGTGGCAAACCTAAGAGTAGTGTGTAAAAAATTAAATGAAAATAAAAAAGTAATTTTTTATTTTTTTTTAAATGGGCTTATTCCATGGGCCTGGGCCTGGGCCTGGAGCTGCAGCTCCATCAGCCCCTATGTTAATCTGGCCCTGCTGATATGGCTCATTTGGGAGAGCATTTGGTCAATGTAAACAGATTGTATATGACTCATATTATTTTGTTTCAACTAGCTAATTTTCATCGAAAAGCATGTTTTGCTACATACAGGCTACAGGAGATGCTAGTTTTGACAATCTTTCCCAGTTACAAATGCAGGAGCAAGAGCTCAACTGCAGGACACAGCCTTAGGATAGCCATTATCTTGTCCAAATGAGATGATATATATACAACATTACAGATGTAATATGCCTTTGAGCTAAAAATAAATTTAAAAAAGCACAAAAAATAAAGATACTCTCAGTGAAGCCTTAAACATAGATTTATAGATTTTAACATTTATAATACTTTTTGTGAATCAAGTAGAGCATTTAATTTGCTAACTGTGAACTCTTTTTAAATATACATGTACTGTGTTACATTAATATTTTCATCTTATAATTACAGGATTATGGGCATAACTCATATAAAGAAGCTTGCACTGCATGTGCATTTTAAAGAAACATTCCACATCTGTATTAGCCGTTTGCTACATTTACAGTGTGATATTTGCTGAACACTGCTTAAGCATTTTAATAGCTTATGCGGACACTATGCCAGATTTAATGAACACTGAATCATGCACCTGATTTATTGCCTGTCTCGTATCAGGGCATAGAAGTAATCAGATATCAATTTAAAGCTACTCTAAGGTCAATAAAGCTTGAAAGTCTGTATTTTTGTCAACTGAAAAATGGACAGAATGTGGTGTTTTGGTGGTAATGTGTGAAATCATTTGAAGTATACTGATATCGACCAAGGGATATACCTTCTTGAAATTTGTGATTATACGAATATTTTTTGAGTTTCCGTATTATTAGCATACATGAATGGATAACAAAAGATAGACCGATATACCACGTTACAACATTGTAAATATAATCTTTGCTTTGGTAGGACAATTGTGTAGTTAGGCATAGCACAATCTAGAGCAGGGCTAAGCTACTTTGGGCACTGCAGATGTTATAGACTATATTTCCCCTGATGCTTTGCCACTATTATTTCTGTAAGAGCATCAATGGAGATGTGGTTCTCAACATCTGGGATGCCAAACGTTGTCTACCCCTGATCTTGAGCAACTCTTATAGAAGCTACCCTTTATATTATATTATTCTGACTTTCAAAGTAAGAACTTCAGTCTGCAGGTTGAAACATGTTTTTGATTCCAGTCACTGATTATCTTTTGCTCTTCTGAAGAATAAATACTGTATTCCTGACTTGGCACATTTCTAATTTCTTCAACATATCTAAACTTTCTTGGATACTTCCAATGGAAACAGAAGGATAACTAATAATATTTGGTAGGACAAATCTATATTAAACAGACTGCTATGCAGTCCTAAAAAGATTATCCCATTTTTCCATCTCAAGTTCACCACTCTTCTGGAGATGCAGTGCTGGTAGGGGATACATATAGGGGTTTTGTAAGATATTTAAACCATTTTGGCACAAACGCAAACCTTGATGCAAGACAAAAAAGGTATATGTATCATTGTTTAAATGACATGGAGATTCTATCAAAATGTGAATTTCAAATTTTAGACCATAATAGGTAAACTGGAAGCATAGCTCATTTGCAGAATATTTTGCCTTTAGCTACTTTTGGCCTTAAATTAGAAAATGTCAAGATATTCTCAATTTAGCAAATGACTCTCAAGGTTATTCACTAAAGTCAGAATTTAAGGTGAATTAAAAGTGAATTTCAAATTTAGGGTTAAAATAGTTAAACTGGAAAATATTTTGGTTTCAGTTCAGCTACTTTGGCCTTAAATTTCAAATTCACTTTCAAATGTGACTTTGGTAAATAACCATGTCTGTCTATATTGTTTTAGATATGTTTGTTATTAATTCATTTATAATGCCACTGTAAGCGTAATAATGTGTGCAACATTGTTTATAGCTGGGACTTTCAATGTATTACTGTAATTAGCATCTGATTACATCCAGTAGGTTAAATCGAATTTCTTAATTATCTTTTTCATTATGTGTCAAATTAAACTAAACATTACCAATTCATATGTTATCAGATTTATCATGCATTGATTACGCCAAATGATTCTTGATTCTAAAAGCTTCATATATTATATAAATATTAGCAAATATATTGAGTTGCTAACTATTCCTTAATGGAGGAGCCAAAGGTTAAAATGTATTCAAGTTCAAAAGAAAATATTGGAAGCCGGGAAACTCAATATTGGTAATATTCAGAAAAATATATCTTTTAACTAGATTAATAGCACATTTTCTCTATCTAATAGTATCAGCAGAAGTATAACAGTGCTATTTGTTTAAATGAAACAATGGACAACATATACAGTTGCAAGAAAAAGTATGTGAACCCTTTGGAATGATATGGATTTCTGCACAAATTGGTCATAAAATGTGATCTGATCATCATCTAAGTCACAACAATAGACAATCACAGTCTGCTTAAACTAATAACACACAAAGAATTAAATGTTGCCATGTTTTTATTGAACACACCATGTAAACATTCACAGTGCAGGTGGAAAAAGTATGTGAACCCTTGGATTTAATAACTGGTTGAACCTCCTTTGGCAACAATAACTTCAACCAAACGTTTCCTGTAGTTGCAGATCAGACATGCACAACGGTCAGGAGTAATTCTTGACCATTCCTCTTTACAGAACTGTTTCAGTTGAGCAATATTCTAGGGATTTCTGGTGTGAATTGCTTTCACATACTTTTTCTTGCAACTGTACAACTAAAATCACTTATGCTTTTGTAATTAGCAGTGTATACTTGAGATTTTGGCCTTATAAGGAAGATGGTTATAGTAGTGTAATAGTTAGAGAGCTATGTATAATGCAAAAATTGTCTCAGCAAGATGTATATTGGAACTATACGGTATACTGAGTATAGCTGTCTATGTAATATTACAACTTTGTTATTATTTACATTACTTAATATTAGAAAAGCTATCTTTACTGCTTATACATGTAGTTTATAAAATACACCCATAATGATCAGCAGTATATTTTAGATTTTTAGCTGTAAGTGTATACTTAAATACAAATTTGCTGCATCTCCAGTGTTGTTTTCTTTTTTAATCATAAGAATATAGTTTTATTTGTAAAAAAAATATTATATAGTTAGTACTTGCTATATGGTGTTACAAAGTGCTATTGTAATATCTTATGAAAAAGAAAAAAGTTATAGAGTATCATTTAAAGAGACAGTTTAATCTATGGTACCAAGAAAAGCTTAATGATAAGCAATTTTTTATTTGATCTATAAAGACATATTCATTACATGTTTATGCCAATGTTATTTGTTTCCTACTTGTTGATAGAGTAGCTTGAGTGTAGATAACTTGACAAAGCTACACATGTGGTTTCTCGAGTTATCCAAAGTAAACAACTTGGGGATTCGTCCACTCCTTCACCTGATCTTCATAGCTCACTGACTTCCCCAGGTTTATCCACTAAAGGGAAAATTATTGGGGTTCAAAGTGAATTTGAGTGAATTTCAAAGAGAATTTCAAATGAAGGCCAAAATACTTAGACTGGAAAATCTCAAAAAAATCTCCAAATCAGCTATGCTGCTACTTTGGCTATTTTGGCCTTAAATGTGAAATTCACTTGCAATCTCTAAAAATTCTCACTTAATGGGGTAATTCACTAAAATCGTAAATTGGCCTTCTACCAAATGGGGCAAATCTCCCAGCTGCATATGGGGCCAATACTAGAAGGATTATAGGCACCTCAAGGACCCAGGTAACTGAATAATTAAAATATATTAACCAAGGGACTTCTGGCGCCATGACTGCTTTAGATGTTGTGGACTACACCTCCCCCGATGCTTTGCCACCATTAAGGGAAATTTAGTCCACAACATCTGGAATGCCAACATTTGTCTATCCCTGATGTAGAGCAACTTCACTAGAAGCTATCCCATACCATAGTGGCCATGGTGCTTCTACTATCCATTTATCAACTGGAAAATTGATCTAGTGGCCCATTCCAAGTGTAATATAATTAATGATAACAAACCAAAGTTAGTTAATCATTTTGTACTTTTCATGGGACCTCTTCTGTGCATGATCAAAACCACGTTATTGTTGGCAGTTGCTGGGGTCCTAATTCTTTCAGAAACCTGCTAAAATTATATGGGGACCTACTTTTGGCCCTGATTCAACCTATGGAATACATTTTATGAATTGCATGCAGAATGCCTTTGTATGATACACCATCCTCCAAGTTCCAAATGAGCTATTTAGAAAGATCAAATAATATTCTCTGCTATTCAGAGAAGCCTCTGTTTACATAAGGGAGTCTGTGGTCTACATTTTCAGTGGGTGTAGTCAGACTGCAATCTTTCCATTGTTATCCTGTCCTTCTTAGTCATTCAGAGCATTGCTGCTGCTTACCATGACAACACTCTGACTCACTAGAATTGCCAGTTTGTAGTGAAATTGACAAGTTGTCTTCACCTGTGGTGCAAGTTACACCATTCCACCAGGGAATGATAAGGATTCATGAATACCTTTCTTAACAAAGGTAGGCAAGAGAGAGAGGTGCAAAAAGTTAATATTTTTTTCAGTCTTATAAAGCTATTTAATGTAGCAATAAAGAGCCCCTTGACTCTCCTGCAAACACCCCCAACACATATTATACACACTACAAACAGCCCATGCATACAGAATACCAATAACAGCTCACATTTACACACACAACACCACAGGCAGCTTCTATCACATACTCACAAAAAAACACAGACAGCCACAACTTAACTTTACATGCAGCCCACATACACACATAATACTACAAATAATCAACATGCACATTGCCACAGGCAGCCTCCAATACAAACAAGA